CATTTTTCCATTGAGTTCTCATGTCTTATGTAAGAAGGCTTTTATACACTCCACACAATTCTTACCCATCATCACTGCTCACACCCAGGAACAACTGGCCAGGAAAGATGTTTATTAGTCACCTGACATTCTTTAGTCCAACACACACCCTAGCTACCCCTGGCAACAACCTACCCAGGGCTTGAGAAAAAGAAAAATATTCATTCTCCTTCCCCCTTCCCTTTTCCTGCCCTTTGACCACTCAGCCTGGAAGGGAGGGCAGATTCTGGTCTTTGCGTTAGAGATCACCATACAGTTCCTTTTTTAAACAAAGCCTATGCCGTCCATTAAGTCATCTGTCCCCATTGTCAGTCTGTCCTTCTTTGCAGACCTGACACAAGAGTCTGAACAAATCGTTTTCACCTCTAGCCTGTCTCATGTGGCATGGTGAGGAAGCTGCGGAGAGCAGGCAGGAGCAGTGAGCTCCAGGCTTCATACTTACCTGGTTTCCTTAGACTTGAACCCAGGGAGCTCTGTTACAGATCTAACAGCTTCCTAGACTGGAGGGGAGGCAGGCAGCCTGTGTTCTCTGCTTACTGATTTTTCTAGGCACTTAATGTACTACTTTGAATCCCATGGAAATATTTGCAAAAAGCCTCTGTCGTAAGATAACTTAATTAAACATTACTTACAAGAGTTTAATATTCATTATTTGGCTTCAATTACCGTCTTTGTCCCCTCCCTTCCCTCTCCTCCACTGGAGAGTTCTCTCCCCTCTCTTATTCCAAGGTCTAATTAGCCTAATGGCTGCTGCTTGCCGTGACCTTCTGTCTGTTGAAAAACAAAAACATAAAGGCTGTCTTTGGTTTGCCTTCCCTATGGTCTTTGCATGTGGCAGCCCAGATTCTGAATTCTGCGTGTTTCTCTCCCTTTGCAAATGTGTGGCCCCACATGGGCGGCGGAGTGGAATTAATGATGTGGATTTGAAAAGAGCTCTGCAGCCAAATCTCCACGAATACCAGAGGGCTGGGGCAATGGAGAAAAGGAGGAACTGAAGAAAAAAGACTCAGAACCCTCCTGCAAGGTCTGGCAGCTTGGACGGGGAATGAGGCTGGCAGGAAAAGCCTTCAAAGGAGGGTGCCTGTGTAAAACCCATCACGTGCTTTCCTATACTTTCCGCCCCTGTCTTGGGGCATAATAGCGTCCTGGGCTCCCCTCTCAGTTGGCTTCTTTGTAGGCTTTTGTGTGTCTTCCCCTACAATCTATATCTGCAGCCTCTGGTTTCCACACACACACAGAGCCATGATCATAGCAGGACCCATGCAGAAGGGAGGCAGATAGATGGGGAATTTGATCTTAGCTGTAGCACATTGCCTGAGCTCCTCTTGTGTTTCCTGCACAGCTGGGCATCATAGGGATTCAGAGGTGAGGATGCTTGGCCTCCAAGGAGCCGGAGAAGCACAGTGGGGACTCTAACATCAGTCAGCTGGGAGAACTGCCAGAAAAGCTTTGTCAAGGTACATTTGGACCCATGAGCTGCTAGGTGCTGCTTCTAAGGGAAGCTGGGTGTGGAGAGAAGGAAGCAAGGAAGGTTGGCATCAGAAGGTGGTATCAGAGATGTGACTTAAAGGAGAGAAGGAGACCGAGTTGGGCAAAGGGCTGGTGGCATTCTGGGCAATGGGAAAGGGGAGGCAGTTAGAAGGATGTTTGAAGCAGTTTGGATGCAGGTGAGTGAGTAGCCATAAGGGCTCATGCCCCCAGCATGGACTTTGTACTGAAGATGCATTTTACTGGAATACACTGAAGGCCATCACATTGGGCATGATGCTGACCAGTGCGTGTTCTGGCATAAGAGCTCACATCATGGTGAGGCAGGTGGACACATGAAGAGGAAAGAAAGACAAAGCATAGAGGACAATGGAGCCAGAGAACAGCTGGAGGTGAGGGGCCTGGACATACAGCTGCTTAGAAAGCAGGCTTTCACATAACGTGGAACTAATAGGATGGGATGGGTATCTAAGCTGATCAGGAGCTGCCCATGAAGCAACTTCCAGGGAGAGGGAAGGTTGACTGACATCAACAACAGGCATGGGTCACACAGTGCCAACCCAGAGAGGCCGGCCAGACACAGCAGTCACAATCACAGGTCTAAAGAGACAGTAAACTCAAGCCTGGTCCAAATATCTAGCAATATGCAAGGTGTCACCTGCAAGACCATAGGGATGGGGACATTAAGATTTCAGTCTAATTTAGGGTACAAAGCTTGACTACAGAGCTCAATGTGTGGTCTTTGTTCTTACTATGCCTAGTCTCTGGTGTTCAGGAAGGGAAGGATTGTCCATCTGTTATTTCTCAGGTGACCCAAAGGTCAAGTTCAGTGTGGTACATCCCACTTCCTACTTTAGGAGCCACAGGAAATTCTTAGACCTATCCACAGACTAAAGAGGACCCCTCTCTGCTGTGGGATGTCCTTCTGTATGCTGTGAATGTGTGTTGCTGTCATTGGTTGATAATAAAGCAGTTTTGGCCAATGGCGAGCCAAGATAAGGTTAGGTGATATAATCAAACTGAGGATGGAGATAAAGAAGGGTGGAGTTGGGGCAGTTGCCAGCCAGCTAGCTGTGGGAGAAACAAGGTATGTAGAATATGAGGTAACAAGCCATGAACCATGTAGCAAAGCATAAATAAGAAATATGGGTTAATTTAAATGTAAGAACTACAGACTCAGAAAGACAAATATGGTATGTACTCACTCATAGGAAGATGCTAGATGTGGAACAAGGATGACTGGACTGCTACTCACATCACCAGTGAGGCTACCTGGAAAATGAGACCCCAAAAAAGACACGGAGAAATGGATGAGATCTACATGAACAGCCTGGTCATGAGTGGGAACAATGAAGGGTGACGGTCGAGGGAAAGAGAGTGGGAGATCCTAGCTGGATCAAGAAAAGAGAGGGAGAACAAGGAATAGGAGACCATGGTAAATGAAGACCATATGAGAAGGGGAGGAAGCAGAGAGCTAGGGAGGCCCACGGAGATCCACAAAGATACCCCCACAAAAGACTGCTGGCAATGGTCGAGAGACAGCAGGAACTGACCTACTCCGGTGATGGGATGGCCAGACACCCTGTTAGTTGTGCCATAAACCCCATCCAAGGAAGGTCTGAGGAATCTGAATGCAGACATCCACGGCTGGGCCCCTGGTGGAGCACTGGGAGTCTAATTAGTGAGAAAGAAGAGGGTTTATATGAGCGAGAATTGTTGAAGCCAAGGTTCGATAAAGCACAGGGACAAATAACCAAATGAATGGAAGCACAGGATCTATGAACCAAAGGCTGAGGGGCCCCCAACTGGATCAGGCCCCCTGAATGGGTGAGACAGTCATTTGGCTTGATCTGTTTGGGAGGCAGCTGTGTGTTGGTGCTGGGTCCTGGGCTAGTTGCATGAGTTGGCTGTTTGAATCCTGGGACCTATGCAGGGATGCTTGGCTCGGTCTGGGAGGGGGGGACTGGACCTGGCTGGACTGAGTCTACCAGGTCGATCCCGGTCCTCGAGGGAGACCTTGATCTGAAGGAGGTGGGAATGGGGGGTGGGGTGGGGGGAGGGGGAGGGGGGCGAGAGTGGGAGAACAGGGGAATCTGTGGCTATTATGTTGAACTAAATGATGTTGTAAAATAAATTTACTTAAAAAAAATAAATGTAAGAACTAGTTGATAATAAACCTGAACCATTGGCCAAGCTTTTATAATTAATATAAGCCTCTGAGTGGTAATTTGGGGAGCGACTGCTGGGTATAATTGGGTGTACAGGACAGAAAGTGCCACCTCTAGTTACACCTCTCCCACAAATCTCTTTGCAACTATCACCCATTGTTTGATGCTCTGAACTGAGTCATCCTTGGGTTCACTGATTAATGTTGGAGTCTGGATAGAGCTGAAGTTAGGAGGTGTAAGAGGAGATTGTAAGGGAACACAGTGAGAAGAAGGGAATGGTTGACACCCCCCCCCAACACAGTTACTAGATGGCAGAATTTCACATAGTCAAGGTCCTCTGATTTCTTTTCCTAGGACTGTGCATAACAGAATGAAGAAGAATCCACTTGGTCCCTCTTCCATCTTGTCCAGTGTTAACTCAGACCTGTGACCAAGGCCTGTATGGAGGTGTTGCCTTGTTTCCATGGCTAGGTCTCATAGTCTGAGCAGATCCCATACGACACAATCTAGCACTCATAAGCAATTCTCTGGAGCCAGATCCTATGTCTGTTACCCAAGGTGCTCTTGGCCTAGGTAGTCAGCTTTCCTGCAATCCATTCTCCAAATCTATACTACAGAGAGGATGGTCATACATTTCTGTCAGTATTGGTCAAAGTCAATTATCCCAGTGTAATTATTCATGGTGTTTCCTTTCCTTCCCATATGTGTTTTGATTGGTATGACAAATCCTTGAGGTTACCCTAAACATAGGCTATTAATAATACCTCCTTTATAAGACTGTAATGCTTAAGTGTATGAGAGCTCTTAGATTACTGACAGATAATTTATAGCCATGTGTTACTAATTATGTCTTGGATATGATAACACTGTAGGGCTGCCACAAAGAATTCTTACAAATAGAGAATTTCAAGCAATGAGAATTTCCTTACCAGTTATTTTAGATGCTGCAGGATGGAAATTAAGGTGTTAGCTGAACTGAATCCACACCATATGCTTTATCTAAAAACCCATCCCTTTCCAGTTACTGGTGGTTCCTGGTGACCATGGGCACCCCTTGGTTGTGGCAACATCATTCCCTTGTGACACCGTCTTCACTTGTTCTCTTGGTTTGTTTTCCTGTTTGTCCCTGTTCAATTTTTCATCTTCTCCCAAAGATACCAGTCACTGGGCTAGAGATAAGACATGAACTCATCTGAACTTCATTACCTCGTCAAAGACCTTATCCCCAGACATGGCACGTTCACAAATTTCAGAGCAGATGCTAATCTGTGGGATGCATCATTCAGTCTTATAAAGACACAGCCCTCAGCTCACAGTTACACTTTAATCTATTTGACTTTTATACCTAGTGCAAGACTTCATTTAGCACAGTGGGTAGTTGATTGTCCATTGATAGATACAAGGCTGCTGAAAGATGATCTGTGTTGGTTCACTGTGGAGCCACTGCTGGCAATGGAATTAGGGAAAATAAAGAAGGGAGAAAACGAATTTCTTCCTCTGATCTCCCCCTCCGTGGAGAATTCTATCTTCTAGGAGCTGTCAATCTCCTTGCTTGCTCACCCTTTGGCTAGTATTTGAAAAAAAGTGAAAAAAAAAAAAGAGACATCTTCAAATCATTCTTAAAAGGACAAAATTCAACCACGCAAATCAACAACCACAAACATAAAATCCAACAGAAAGCCCCCCTAGCACATCAAGGAGATGCTGGTGCCTGAGCTGAAATAGCTTTTCCATAATGTAGTGAAACATATTAAATTCAATAGACATCAAAGGAATTTTGGGAGCAGTTGCTGAATTTCCTGAAATAAACAGGGCTTTCAAAGAGAGCATTGGGACCGTGGGGATGGGAGCACATTTTCAGGGGGCCAAACATGGAATCCCCCCAGTTTTCCATCAAAGAGTGAATTCTTTAAAGATTAGTAATAAATGAAGACTTGAAAACAGTTTTTAACCCAAACTGCCTCAGGTCCAGGTAGAGACTGCAAATGACAAGTCCATCTCCAAATGACGGAGGAGGAGGATTCTGTCCCCGGCTTTCTTCTACAGGTTATTCAAAATGAGAAAATCATTTTAGACAAAAGGTATTCTGGTAAGTGAAAGGCAGCTTCGTGTGGGCCGAAAAACAGCAGACGGCTTTTGTGTTCCCAGCAGCTGAATGGCAAGTGTGGCACCCTCAATGTTAGAAAGATTAACATTTCAAAATCTCAAGGTGTGTGTACATGCGTGTGTATGACTGTGTGTGTGTGCATGTGCACGTGTGTGTATGTGTGTGTGACTGTATGCAAGAGTGTGTGCCTATGTGTGTGTGTGAGTGATTGTGAGTGTGTGTGTGAGTATATGTGTGTGTGTGTGTGTGTGTGTGTGTGTGTGCATGTGTATGAGTGTATGTGTGTACCTAATTGTGTGATTGAAGTGCCAGAGAGGAGGTAAGGGTGCACCTATGGGCTTTCATAAGGCCCTCATGCAAGATGCCTGCTCCATTTCCATGAGTTAGGTTGATGGTAGCATCCTTTGAGATCAACAAAGTATAGAATCCTTAAGGCTGTGAGTCATGGCTCACATGTACAAAACAGTTCTAGAAAGGCTGAGTACATTGTCCAACATCACAGATTCATTGACTTTCAGTCCCTCATCAATGGGTTAAGTCTTTACTTATACAGTCATTCCTATAGCCAGAACTCTCTAAGGTATCAAAATCCTAGGATGCACTAGTCCCTTATAAAAACACAAGGTTTTGCATATGAACTGTGTATGTCTCCCCATATACTTTAAATTATCTCTAGCTGATCTACAAAGCTAACATTAGGTACATGCTGTATAAATTGTTGTCACCTGTCACCTTTTTTGGGGGGGAAATGACAAGAAAAAGTCTGTAAATGTTCAGTGCAGATACATTATCTTGAGTGATTTCAAATTTGGCTTGGTTAAATCTGCAGGTGTAGGACCCATTAGTAAGAGGGCTGACTGTACAGTTGAGTCAGAGATGTTCTCAGCTACCTATACATCTGAGACCTCACAATGGTTCCCAAATGTGAGTCACTGTCAGAGTCACCTTTATTGATCTTCCAATGGCTTCTATTGTGAGGAGAGCATCAGTGAACACTGATGAACAGGTGTCTCCTTTCTCCCAGGTAACTACCAAGGAGAGTACTGGGTCTTTTGCTAAGCATGATTATTTTGTGCAAACCTGCGCAGCTGTGTCCTGAAACAGCTCTAGCCTTCCACGTTCTCGCCAGCAGAGCTGGAGCATCCACTCACCCCACAACATCCCTGACACTTGCAGTGGTTCGTCTTTTCCGATCTAGTCATTTCAACCTTTGTGGGGTGTTGTCTCCTTATGATTTTTTTTTTTTTTTTTTTGGTTTTTCGAGACAGGGTTTCTCCGAGTAGCTTTGCGCCTTTCCTGGAGCTTACTTGGTAGCCCAGGCTGGCCTTGAACTCACAGAGATCCTCCTGGCTCTGCCTCCTGAGTGCTGGGATTAAAGGCATGTGCCACCACCGCCCTGCTCCTTATGATTTTAATTTGAATGTCCCTCGTGACCAATGTTAGTGCGTGAGCCTTCTCATATGGGTAATTTTCCAGCTATGTAGCTTTCCGGTAAATTGTTCTAATCTTTTTCCAGTTTTTATATTGGATTGTTTTTGTTCATTTGTTTGCTTTGTTTTTGTTTTTGTTTTAACTAAGATTGGAGGGGACAGCAAGATAGGTCAGAGGGTAAAGGCACTTACCGCACAAGCCTGGTGGTCTGAGTTAGATACCAGAACCCATGTAAAAGTGGAAAGAGAGAACTGACTTACTAAATTCTCTTCCAGCCTCCACATGTATACTAAAACATACCCCCCCCCACATATCGTGGGAGCCATAGTGATGATGATGATAATGATGATGATGATGATGAATGGTGATGATGATAAAGGTGAATGATGATGATGGTGGTGATAGTTTTGAGAGTTTGCACATAACATTTGTGTGTGTGTGTGTGTGTGTGTGTGTGTGTGTGTGTGTGTGTGTAATACCTCAAAGTGGAAACAACCTAAATATTTACTAACACATTTCTGTTATAACCCAAATGTGTTATATCTGAGGATGGAGTTTACTTAGAAATAGGGGATACTGGTACATGTTACAACATAGACTCATTTCAACATAATCATGCTGAATACCAGAGACCTGACACAAAAATATACATTCTATGAATCCAAAGGTGCAGAAAATTCCAAAAAATGCAAAGTGTTCTTTGGTAACAGCAAAGTAGTCTGGTTGTAACCTGGTAGGGAGGAGACAGGAAGGATGGAGGAGAGAGATTACAAAGGCTTATGGGGAAACTTGGGGACATTGGCCATGTTTATTATCTTGATTTTGGTGAGCATCTCAGGAGTGTGTATATCTGTCAAAATTGGCCATATTTTTCATACTAAGCATCTTAGAAGAGAGAAAAAAAATCTAGGCTTGAGTTCTTATTCACTGTTTACCAGCAGTATAGGTCTGAAAATAAAAACAAAGCCCAAATAACTTCTATACATTTTAGTTTCCTTCATTTGTAAAAATGGGCTAAAAACCAGAAAAAAAAATTGTTTTGAAGTGCCTGCCACAAACTAGGTTTCCATAAATACATGTTTGTTTATCTTCTATTTTCTAATACCCAACTCCACTCCTCCACCCCCAATCCCCCATCACAAGAGAAGAGCTGCCCTGTGTGTGTGTGTGTGTGTGTGTGTGTGTGTGTGTGTGTGTGTGTGTGTTCTCAAGTGCACACTCCAAGTATGTGCACGTGCAGGAGTGACTAAATTGTGTACCCTGGGATCAGGGTGAGATCCCCTGACTAACCAAGGGTCGGCATGAAGGTCCCAGAAGATACTAGGAGCAAAAATTAGCTTTACCATCCACATTTACCTACTTCATAAATCCCCCACCAAAATGCTTAAGGAACAACCTCGGCTCCCATAAGGCATTATGGTGATTAATGTTTATCTTCATTCCACATCAGGGCCCTCAGGCTGGCAGCTTCCCTCCTTCCCTGCTGTCCTTTATCACACTGTTAACTGGTTAGCTGGCTCACATTTTTTGCAGGCAGAACTGAAAGGGAGGCAGCCAAGCAGCTTGCTTTCTTTGCTCCCCTGCCTCTCCCTCCCCTTTTGTGAGCTCTTTGTCTCTGCTTCATTGTCCCAGGAGCTCCAAATGCGCTCCAGGTGCATGTGTGTGAGTGTGCGCCACACAAGCAGGCAGGCACAGGTTCGCACCCACCCGCTTCTTGCAGCTGGGGCCAGGGCTTTGAAAGTCTCTTATCATTGGGATGCACATGTGCTGGGATGTGGGTGCATTTGCAAGGGTAGAAAGGAGTCAGTGGGGAGTGGGGAGGAGGAAACAGCTCCCAGCTCCCCTGCTCCCTGTCTTCGTCTTCTTTGTTGAGATGAAATTTCAGATGCTACCGGGTGTCTTGTCAGCAAATCTTTTGCAAAATAAATGGGAGTAATAATGTATATGTATTATATTTAAAAAGCTGATTTGTTCAGTATTTAGCCCATGTATCCAAATGTAGAGGAAATGCCTGACTCCTCATGTGGCTGCGACTCCAGGTTTGACAGACATGGAAGCACAGCCAAGGAAAAGAAAAGCACTTACTGAATGCCTACTGTGTGCTAAGTCCTTTCCCGAACCTGACCTTATGTGATTCTTGGTGGCTGCTATAAGCAGTGGGTAATCAGTCAACCATGCCTGAATAGAGAGAGTGGGAGTCTCCCAGATCCTATTGGCAATCATAGAGAAGTAAGGCAGTGAACTGACTTCTGGCAAGTGCCAGGCACTGAGGGCTGAAAGCAATATGGGTATGGAAGGTTTTGGACTTTCCCATTAGATCGAAACACTTATTTCCTGTTCCTCCTCCTCCCTTTGAACTTATTTACTGGATTCATTAAAGACACACTCTGCTTACTATGAGGATGCAGGCTACACTTACTGAATTAAAAGAAAAACAAAGTAACCCCCACAACTTCAGATAATGAAACAAGTTCTGCTCTGGAACAACTTTTAAACAGAAAGCAGCCTCTCCTAAAAGACAGGGTCAGGGTTTGACAGAGCCTCCTGCCTTACCACCCAGGTTTCTCTCTGTCTCCTCTGTGACGGTAGACATTCTGGAACTTTCCATCTCTAAGCAACATATTGTCATCTTGTCTCTCCACAACACTCCAGTGGTGACCATACAGGGAATGCAAGGGCAATACTTTGTTGGAGCAAAAAAAGCCTTTTGCCATGCCATCCTCTCTCTCTCTCTTTCCCTCCCTCCCTTCCTCTCCCTCTCTCTCTCTCTCCCTCCCTCCCTCTCTCTCTCCCTCCCTCCCCCTCTCTCCCTC